CATGTAACAGGGCTTTGCAATGTATCGGACGCATTTTCATTAAACAGCACTCAGTGTTGACAATTCTGAGGTGATTTAGCTGTGAACGAGTACTCAGCTCAAGGAGCTCCTTGTTTTGCGGGTTCGATGTCGACAATTTGGGACTGAGCCGGATAATTCCCATGCCGAATGGTGAGTAATCCTTCAGCACACTGTTGACGTGAGCCTGAGTCTTCATGGAGCAGCGGTGCTAAAATATCCACCACCAATAAGCATTCAGGAAACGGGAAAGCTTTAATTACATGCATTAGCACATGGCGCTGTTAGGCATTGCTAACTAAAGCTTCAACTGAACTCTAACTATGGGCTTAGCAGACAAAGAGAGGGCAGCTTACATTGCCAAGGAAACTAATGCAATACCCCCCCCCCCCGTTCCTTTTTGTTTGTTTGTCCACCACTGTGGATCAAAAGGAAGTTGTGCTTGCCTGTCACGCTGTATTAGAGATCAAAATGTTCCTTTTTATAATTTATCATCAAACGGATGCAGAGGGGGCCATCTGATCAGCTTTTAAATGTTGTTTCCCAGGTCTCAAAAGCACAAACCTAGTGTAACTCTGTGGAGTGGTTATCTAACATTTATCATTTGCAGGCTATTAGCGGTTGTTCAAGGACGCCGCGTGACTTCAACTGACTTGAGAGGCGAGAGCAGATTTACAGCAGTGCAGACGAGAGGACAGAGCCGTTGGACACCGGAGGCGAGGCTGGATAATGAGGAGCGAGGTAGACTTGAGGCTTGAGGTACGAAATAAATTAAAAATAGGCAAACACAGCTGGAACGGTTTATGATAAAACCATATAAAAACAAAGAAGACCTGTGGCTTAAGTGGAGAGCAGGGAAGAAAAGGGGGGGACTGGGGAAGACGAAGTGACTGTGACGGGTATTTTCCAATGATATTCAGTCCTCAACTTTGGTCATTTTTCATGAAGAATAGCTTCTTCTAAGCCACTCTTCTATCGCCAACATCACCGAGGAGGCTCCAGTCAAGAGATGTGGATCAGCTAAAGTACCAGTCGGGCACACTTTTTTTTTTTTTTTTCCCCCTTCTTTTTCTTTAGCACATCACTGTCAGATGCTGCTCCTCTGCTGCTTTTATTTATTCTTTTAATCGCACCACTTCTTCTTTTGTCATTCTCCGTTTGTTAGGACAAACTGCACACCATGCGGAAAATTGTCAGCTCTTTGAGAATCACCTTTCTAGTTAAAAAATACTATGGCCTCGAGCAGTGTTAGCTGTTATATATTCAGTATTTTTAACTAAAATTGGTGCTTTTTTCAGTGTGTGCTTTTTTTAAGCCATTTCACTCCAGCCCGAGTTAAAAAGGTGCCGAAACGAACAATTCAAATGACCTCAGGGCCTAAATAACTATGAAAATCTCACTCAGTGAGGTCGTAATAGTGCTGAGACGGTAGATGAGGGTTTCTTTCGAAGACTTAAAATGAAATGACGACCTGCTTTTTTCTGTAGAGTTTATTTATTCTTGGCATTGATAATGAAAATGTGACTTTAAATGGAGGAAAAAATGGGAAATGAATCATTAAAAACATATAAGCCTGAGCTATCCGAAATTTTGAGCCATGACCCGAGTCCAACAGTATGAGACATGTGGAAACCGTTTAGAGAACCAAAGTGACACTCACTGAGGGAGTTGCTTTTTCCTCTCACTTTTTTTAGGATATCCTGATGAGTATATCTTTAAAAAAATCATTGCATTGCTGTCACATCCATAGGTAAGCTCATGTCAATCCTGCAACAGTAAATGTCATAATCAAAGTTTTTTTTTGTTAAATCTCAGTAGTCCAAGTGTTTTCCTGGAGATATTGATCGATTGTTTTTAGCTCGATGGGTGGACTTTCATAGCTTTGGGGTAAACATCAATTTCCCACTCAAGTTGAACTTCCCAGCTTTCACTGACTCGTCAAACCGGCGGCAGCACTTTAACCGTGGAGCCTGCGGCACTTCACACTGAGCACATTTCTACCTTTTGTTGTCAGTTTGATTTCCTCAGGCTGGGGGGGCTAGGGGCAGGGAGTCTGGCTCTAAAAGAAAGACATGTCTGAACTTAAATGGACAAATCTAAAACACCTTTCTTTTGAATTCTCGGATAAGGGCTGAAACTCTTGACAGAAAAAAAAATATGCCTTGACTCTTCGTTCGTTTTATTTTTTTTAAGGTTTTCAAAATACATATGAAACGGTTACAATAAATCATATCCCAAATATTTAAATAGTTACAAAAGTTATCACAAACTGTACACTTCATGACGGCAGTTGTTCTTGCTTGATACAGATGAACCAATAGGCAAACGACTACAGCTCAAAGCTTGAAGACTCCTACACATGGAATAACTTGGTTATGTAAAGTTGGCTCCGCCGGGTTACCGGCGTGACTAAAGGCCCACGACTATTACAGAACGTGTAAAAATGTCACTCCATTACAAGGCAGAGCTCTCAAAGTGTCACTAAACAATAGAAATACATTGTGATGCCTCTATTTTTCATGAATTCACAACAACTTCTTAGGTTTTACTTTTCAATATTCACAGAGTGCCACTGATATGAACAACCCTGTTTCCAAAAAAAGAGAGTTGGGACGCTGTTAGCAGTAAACTGAATGAAACGATTTGCAAAGTACTTTAACTGTCAAATCTGAATCTAGATAAATACAAACACAACAGGTAAATGTTCCAATAAAGTGTTATAATAAATATAATTACCCTCCTTTGCTGTAAATGACACACGTGGTTTGTAGGTTCTGTTTTTATTCTATATCTAATTGCCTTTTGCTGTTAGCTGAATTTATTGTGTCCTTTGAATTGATTGTGCCGTATTAATTTAAGTACCATCGACAAAGGGTGTTAAAAAAGCTGTGTGACTGTAAAATATCTCATAAGAAGCCTGAAAGGCAGCACTGAATGGCTGTGAACATCAAGGTCTTATAGCCCTGCATTATGTAGAATTATATATCACTCTATGGACCCGGCAACATTGCTAAGAAAATCATTCTCAGTGAGAAAATTCTGAGGCACTATATTCATCTCAAGGACCATAGAATATAAAACTTTGCTGTGGTTTAAAAAAATCCTAAGATCCTACGTGTGAATATGTTTTTGGTTCCGCTTAGAGCGGTATGAAGGTTGTCCTTAAGAGAGGTCGTGCTGTAGCTTTTGGAGCAACATATACAGACATCTGAACAACTTTTTTTTTCTGGGTGGAACTTGTCTGTTTTAGCAAAACAAGCCTAATTCTACACATCTCACTTCAGCACTTTGCAGGGTTTGGACTTGGAACAAATTTCAGCCCAAGCAATTTCCCCAATTTTACCACAGAAGTCTGTGCACAGCAAAGATATATTTTACAGTTAGAATTTCCTCACAGCAGGGATGGAAAAAAAATCACATTTTCAATTTTAAACCCTTCCTGTGACTTCAGAGCAGCACATGTGGATGTCACACTATGAAAAATGTCTTTCTGGATTTTCAGTTGTAGCGACACAAAGCTGTCTCTGCTTGTCAGTAGCAGCCAAGTCAGTAAGCATTTTTCCATTCTTTTATTTTTGCACTGAGCAATTTGAACTGGCTAAAAGGAAGGTTTAGCTCGGTGGACCATCGGTAACTTTGCCTTATATATATATTAAAAGTCAAACAATATTTCCAGCAATTCCTGATATTTTCCACTCGATCTTGCTCTTGTAACCACTTCATGTCCTGATTTATTTCCTGATCATCAAACCTCAGTGAACCATTTTAAATGTGTTGCTGCCTTCAAACTCTAAAAACAGCAAATACTGTCAAAAGAAATCACAGTTTGAACTCCTCCAATAGCACATATACAGAGGTGAAATAATTTGAAAAAACACTTCTATTCTGTGTTCGTTTGATTCTTCCAGAGCCCCAACTCTTCATGAAACAGGGTTATGCACACAGGTATCAATACATTTATATATTTATACATACAGCTGTAAACACAAAGCTCAAAATTTCAAATACTTGAACATACTGAGCGCTCACATCTTCTCTCGGTAAGTGCTTTTTTTTTCTTTAAGTGGTGACAGGCAAGCTATAGATAAAAATATTCCTTTTTTTTTTTTTACAATAAGGGCAGAGTAGGGGATAGCATAATCTACTACATGTGCAAGTCAGATAACAGTACATAGCCTTTTTCTAATTGCTATGTTGGTTTATTGGTTCTGTTATTACTTATGTGAGGAGAAGCTGAGTCGATGTTCACTAAGAGATACTCAACTTGATTTCAAATGGCTTAATGTAAACAAATACAAACAAACACTGATCTTGTGCATGTGGATCCTCTTTTATGAATTAGAATTCCCTGAATTTATCACTGTTGCTGTTGGATGAAAGTGTTTAAGTGAGACTAGTTTATATGAATCCAGTGTTCATTTGCTTAGTTGTTCGGCCACGTGCTCTTCAAGTTTAAACCATTTTTAAATGATGGGTTCACAATTGAAAAAGTAGCTGTCGATGATAATTGGTTTAATACGTTTTTTTTTTTTATGTGGTACCCAACACATCGAGTGGTGGACTCGTTTCGTGTGCCCAAAAGTAAACTAAAATGTCTCTTTAAAATGTACTGTTGAGCAATACTGTCCAAAATAAGTGGAAATATGGAGTCATTTTCAGCTCCTGTCATGACGTGAGCACTTTGTGCACCCGTCTGCACCTGGGTTTGCTACATTTATCTGCTACTTTAAACATGAGTTGACTGGTGGCCGGCCTCATTTACTGATCTAGGGCAGCGGTGGCTGGTTTTCTAGGATTTGCTCAGCCCTTGTCGACTCTGTTACCTGCAGTTTTATCTTAAATCGAAAAATAGATTGTGATTTGTTGGATTCATTCATCGGTGTTGAGCAGAGTAGCCCTTTTGACTCTGTTCCACGTTGAAGCGAAACACTAACTCGTTCTAGAAGAGCTCCAGGGCTAAAAAAAAAATAAAAAAGAAAAGTAAAGAAAAGCTTCTGGGAAATAACGAAACGGCTGAAACCCCTTGCAAGTGAGTCGTGAAGGACTCCTTGAGGCGGGGCCCGTTATTCGTGAGGTCTGTGTAAATGTTTGGCTGATGAATCCCTCCGAGACCACAGCCAGGGCTGTGCGCAGCCAGCTCTGCAGAGCACTTGAAGGACTTGCATTCAAACAACACGATGTTTCGACACAAACCCGAATGAATTCAGTTTTCACACCACATGCTCTTCAGGCCGAGAGGCCCGGCTTCGTACAGCAGCGACGTCACGACTTTACCTGCGCTCGTCAAGGGCTCTGCGGCGGTTTGGGCGAAGGACACGAGCCTTGACTCTCAAAGCTTGCCGCTCTTCCAGGCCACTGAAAGGCAAAGCATCATGACATACACAACTTTGCAGAGGCACGGCGTCTGGTTTTGGTAACTTAGTAGTTATTTCTCTTATCCTGAGGAAACACTGTGATCATAGGCAATTTCTGCCTTCAGGAGACGGCAATATTATATTTCTGGATGTTGGAAAGAGGGTGATAGTTCTTCCAAGTGTGGAGTCGGACTGGAATACAGGGATGAGGCAAAAGGAATGAACTCCAGCGGTTAGTACTTAATTGTGCCTTACCCCTATTGATTGCGCCACACAGACGGATATGAGGTGGTGAATTTCAGAATATTCTAAATTTGACACACACTTAAAAGCCAACACCCAGCAGGCGCTCTCTCAACGTGCACTGATTGGTTGCTTAGCCAGAGCTCTTTCATCTGGTTGGTTCACCATGGAAAGGGATGGCGTACGGCTTCAGAGGCGTTCCCGTCTCCGACGGGGACGGGAACGGGGACGGTGGGGGGAATCCACGGGCTCAGCTGCACTGAGAGGCTGTGCGGCAGAACGCGGTGCCAACTGTTTCAGGGGGACTTTCTAAACTGTCTTCCTTTCACCGCATGACAAAATGGATTTGGAGAGGGAAAGGTGTGAAATGAGCTCCACGCCTAATGACTTGAGAGACCTCCTGTTGCACAGCAAAAGAGAGCGTTTGCTGAGGGATTGAATTAATTGCACTTGGGTGTTTTTTTCAAAAACCCATTTAAAATAACTGACTTGTATTTTGGTGACTCACAAGCTCAGAAACCTGAGAGCCCTTTTGTTAATCCGATAGAAAAAAGAAAACGTTGTTGTGACAATATGCTTAAACTCGGGGATCTGCTGGAGTTACTGGACTGAAATGAGAGGCTGAGCGTAAACGCAATATTTTCTTATGCCTATGATCACAGTTTGATAAAGTGCTTTTACTACTGAAAAATGTAATCACCTGTATTTTCCTATTCATCAGATGGAGAGTGTTGCAAAAGAGGAAAAAAAATTGATAACATGTAAAAAAATATCTTGATTACAATGGCTTTATCAAAACACTCGGCCTCCTACAAGAAAGGCCAGTTTCAAAGTTCTAAGTCACACAGTATTCAAATGAGACATGATGGCATTTGAGAATCAACTGGGGTTTGCTTTAGCTAAAACACAGCAACAGTTAAACAGACATGAAGGTTGGTAGTAGGGCAGCAATTGACCTACTGTTTCTATGAATAAAATCCAAAGAAAGAGGTTACCTTAATTTGTCTGATGGCTAAAATTGTGCTTTAGTTTCTTTAAATTCAGTTTTTAACGTGTAGATTAAAAAATAAAACATGTATAGGTCCTCATCTGTCAGCAAAAAGAGGAAAACAGCTACCAATTATGTCCCAGGTGTGTTTGAGGTTTCTCAAACTGGTACATAATTTAGAAATTAAACTACAAATGGTAGGATGTATTTGAATTGCCTCTCTGTTTATCCATACTAGCTTTTAGAGAGCTCTGTCAAGACGAGCTGTTTCCACTGAGGCTAAAACAAAAGGAATAAAAGGAGGTTTTTGTACCTCTCCCAGAGCGTGCCAGTGTGTGATGGGCTTCCGTGGGTAAGCCAACATTTCGTTCCAGTGATCTCGTCCAAGGCCGACAGCATCTGGGCCGGCTTGACACACGCCGATCACCTCATTGTGTCCGACCCTGTTACGAGAAAACAGCAACTTACAATCACACCTGCAGAGCTCCACACAGCTCCTGCCAGACTCAGAGCACAAATTAACCCAAGAAATTCAAAGCTTCATTAGATTCTCATAGCTATCTGTCTTGTACAACCACAACACAGTAATGTACTGTATTCCGAATGGGACCCAGCTGTTTAAGCCGGGAAACTTTGTCCCCACAACCTTTTCCCATCACGACTCATTTTTGGCCCCAATGGCAGTTCTTTGTCTGACCATGACACTGAGAAACCTCTCCTGCGGCAGGCCTTGCCAAAGGAGAGTTTGGAGAGTTTTGGGTTTGCCCTCCTGTAAGCAGACGTCTAAATAAACCCAGCCTGGTTTTAAATGCTGTGAACTTGAAAGTGTGTTTGTGAACATGCTCTGCACAGCGATAAAAACAGGATGTATTCAGATTTTTTCCATCCCATCTGATATTAACGCCCGATACAAGGTATTAAGAATGAGAAATATTCACGTCAAATATTCACCTGACAATATTTGTCCAGCAGAACCACGAGAGGAACCCTGAGCTCACGTTCTTCTATTACTTCTGAGTTTAATCAAACAGAATAAACATGCTCCACCGGCTCTGGACTTTTTAAACGTGGTCATCAGAACACTTTAATGGGCCTCGTAACTTAGAGAGATCTGTGTCCTTCTAGTAAGGATGCTCAGTCTCACTCGTCATCTTTAATTAAATGCTTAAATTTCCTTCTAATCCAAAATTCACATACTTCAAATGTGTAATATTTGCTCATTTGATTCGAATGGACAATTAATTAATTCTTTAGCCCTTTTCATCCATTTTTTAAATGAGTTCTGGGTTTAAGATTTTGAAGAGATATTCATTCAAACAATGATTAAATGTTTCATTAGATTATTTAATTTACCTGTCATAATCCATCACCAAGATGGACAGACTGACTTGTTCCACATTCTCCGGGGGAATATCGAAGATGATGGCTTCATTGTACACCGGATTTAGTGTGCTTTTCTTAATAGTTGTTTTCCGCTTCTTCAGCCTCCGTCCATCACATATCAGGTAAACCTTCACGTAGGGATCTGGGACAGAAGTTCACATATTTTAATATGTTGAATATGATTGGGTCGTCAGAGCCAAGAAAAACAAAACAAAACAAAAAACGGCAAAAGATCCAAACGACGCCACCCCGTCAGCGTCTTCCACATGTCAGCCGCTCTGTTGTTTAAGTTTAATTGATGGCCCAGTCTGCTTTTGATGTCAGCCTTATCTATCACCGGGTTACCTGAGGAGCCTGTGATGTCCATGGCTTTGAGGTTTCTGCATTTGATGACTGTCAGGGTCATTCTCCCCGCCGTGGGGAGGTAGCACAACGAGTACATGATCTCTCCCAAGTCAATACTCTCCTGGAGGACGAAAGAGATTGTAAAAAAGAGATTTGGTCCATTTTGAATATTTTGATCACTCTCTGTGAATCAAAATGCTATAAATGAACTTTCAGCTCTTAAATGTGGTTTAGGAACCAGGATTTAAGGCCGTTTGTCTTATTTCTCTTGTTTCTCTTTTCTGCACTTCATACATAATACATAAAACACCAGGAAAATTAATATCCATATAACCTACTGCTGTGTTTTCTGTAGGGATTTATTTTAAAGCTCTGACCTAATGTTGCCTTTATGGACCCCGTTACTGCAGGATTTAACCAAAATTCATAGAAAAAGTCAAATCTGCAAGGATATAGAAAGTTTTTTTGGGACAGTGGCTGTGGCTCACTGGCTTAATCACATGTCTGCTGAGTTATACTTCCATTGAAATGTAGGAACTGTCTTCATGTCTGCGACTGTTGATTATTGAATTAGTCATTAATTAAAAGTCACAAGAAAAACTCAACTTTAAGATACAAACTTGTGTTTTTAAAAAAATAAATTTTCTCTCAAATATCACTAACAGTCAACATTTTTCATAAAGGCTGAAAATGCACTTTTCTTGTACAAGTTGATAGATTAAGCTTTCTTGGGTAGTTCTACATAGTTTTTAGAAGGCTAGAAACCAGAGTGTTTTCAAGTAAAACTAAAAATTTTGCGCCCGCTTCCTTCCTTTCACGTCATCCTGAGCTCTCACGGTGTCAAACAGTCAAGCACAGCAGTGGTGCCCTCAATTGATGCAGCCATTAGCCTTCGTCAGGACACACCGCTCCTCACCTGTCTGCTTCTGCAGTCAAAGGTTCTGTGTTCCCATTTTTGAAAGACATTGTCTTGAGGATACTTCAACACAGGTCAAACAAAGAATTAGCAGCTGTCGTGAGGGTTTTTCATTAGTCAACTTAACTGAAAATGTGTTGGCAGAAAGAAAATGAGCATGTTGGGCTGACAGACACAATTTTTGTCGTGTATTTTTGGGAGGGGGACTTGAAAAATGAACATGTGAAAGATATAAGGAAATTATAATGTAATGTCAACATATACTAGTAAAGTGTGCTGATTTAATTTCCAAGTTGAACGTCAAATATAAATTCTGTTCATATTCAAGTGTATATCCAAACATTTCTACACTGTAAATGAAAAAACTTTGACTAAGCTAATTTCAAAGTAGAAACTGGCAGCGATGTGTTACATCTAGAAATCCAAGGAATTTCAAGTTGAAATTCAGTTTTCATGTTATCGCAACTTGCAGTAACGAGAAATAAAAAAACAGGCTGTTTGGCACTGAACCGTCCACCATATCCCAAAACCTTCTGAACTGTTTCTCAGGAAGTTAAATGAACCAAAGCTGCTGCAAGGTGCATCAACACCGAAACAACAAAAATGGATTCAGAGAGAAAACTACATCATTTACTGATGTTCACCTGCCTTTCGGCTCATGAGAGAGCTGGAACTGGCCCTGGCAACATTTACTCCGTGTTTATCTCAGTGAAAGAATGCATTATTAAAGCAGAGCAAACTGTGTTAAGCGTTCATGTAGGAGTAAAATGCATTTGGGACTACATGACTGATTTGAAAGGAGCTCTTCTGAGAACCTGCTGGGTGTTTTAGCTCCACGTCCCAGTTGTTTACCTGCAGTTGCTGTTCTATACACTGTATTAGCTGTTGAATATTTTTATTCTCTGTGGCTATATTTATGCATGCAAAATATCCAGTAGTTAAAAAAATAAAAAGAATAAAGAGACGCCCGTGGGTGTTTGGCTGATTGAATGCATTTCCCAAAGCGTTGCAATTATGCAATGCGTTCCACCTGCCACTTATCTGGAGAAGTGTTGAGCCCTGCAAGGGAATCCATGATTTTTTTCCCAGTTTCTTTTAATCAGTCGTTTCTAAAAACAGCACAAATTCTTATTCGTGGCTCGTTGCGCAGTGACGGCGAAGGAAGCCCAGCGAAACATTTCCTGTATAACAACAGTATCCACCCCCCAATCACACACCAAAGAGTCCGGCATCACCTCGGACTGAGCGCTGACTCACCGTGGTCGCCGCGTGGATATCCTTCCACACCACCGCCTCCCTGGAGAGGTCGGAGAGTTCAAAGAGGTTGTCCACGACCACCTCGCCGATCATGTCGTGGCTGGTGAACCGGTCAAAGTCGTAGACGCTGAAGTGCAGCTTGCGATTGCAGATCTCGTCGTAGGCCACGGGGAAGCTGAAGGTCTCGTCAAACATGGGGTTCAGGTTCTTGCGGTGCACGCGCGTCTGGAACTTCTTCTTCCTCTCGGGCAGCAGGTAGATCTTCACGTAAGGGTCGGACGTGCCCGTGAAGTCTTTGGCGGGCAGGTCCAGCGCCTTGAGGATCCGCACCACCAAGGCCTGCTCCTCGTAGTCGTAGCGCAGCGAGAAGCTGAGCTTGCCGCAAGTCTCCACGGGCTCTTTGGATTCGTCCTCGGAGTCCACAGACTTCTGCTTGTAGAGTTCAGGTTTTATCCTTCCTATGCTGGCCGTGGAGGACTGGCGGAGGGGCACCGTGTCCATGTTGAAGTCAACGCTGGTGACATTCATCTGACGCGGCAGGTGGCGCCGGAAGGAGTTGTGCCTGTCGAGAGGGTCAGAGGGCGTCTGGTAAATTTGCCAAGTGTGTGCTTCACATTACGCGTACCGACGTGTATCTTATACTTCTATCTGGTTGAATGCCGTAAACATAGGTCTGTAGTGACACCCTAAATCCAAAGTGGAGGCAGTCAGCTCTGTCTCCAATTATATTCAAATCAGCTGTGACCCAGAATGGTTGCAAGACTCTTTCATGTAATGACCTTTTAAGAGCAGAGGTTTTAGTGTACTTGATCCTCCAAGCCAAGTATTATCCTCTTAAGCTGGTAAAGCATAAATTACAACCAAAAGGAGCCTGTGGCATACATAGTGATTGACTGCAAACAGGGTTCACTGTTCACTGACACACTAGGTCACATCAAAATGATTTTTACCTTTCCCGTCTTGTGTTTTGGGGAGGGAAAACACTGGCACTATACTCTTTTTTTTTATTCACTACAGCAATTACCTAAATGTTGCAGATTTCCGTTAGGTTGGCATCTCACAAAACTGTTTGGTTTGCCAATCTCATCACCTAGCAACCGTTCCTCCTCCTTTCCGACAGACAATCGCGGCAGTGGAGCAAATTATATAGCACGGGCAGCACAGCTGAATACTGAATAAGATGCAACGCTATCGCAAAGAACTGGGGGCTGGACAGTCAATGAAAGCCACCAAAACCCTCAGGAGAAAAATCACTGAGCGCTCCGCCGAATGGCACCATGGCAATCCAGACAGGCATGTTCTTTTCAGTTTCTCTCCGTCTTTGTATCCTGCAAATACTAGTTTTCTGTGTCTTTATCCAGACAAAAGGAGGCATCAGATAAAGACATCATCTCTGATGTATGTGTGTGCACAGTTGAACATGGACCCCTGGACTCATCGAGGCACATTTGTGCACGGAGTGAAGGGACCCTGCAGTTGGCAGCAAAACTTCTCCGACAGTCATTCTGATTTTGGAAAGTTACAGGTGAATTTTGTAAACCAAAACACACTGTTTTCTGACTCAATCACAGTCCGCAAACAGCTTTTGGTTCGTAAAGTATAAGTCTAACTGTACCGTTAAATGGACTCTTGTCTACATACCACAGTGTACGCATTTTAAAGCATTTACACCACAAAGTTTTGGACTGGTTGAAAAAAATGTACCTTTTACATGCCAGTCAAATTTTATATAGTTACAGAGGGAAATAATACTTTTAATCCTTGGTTGACTTTCCCCTTTACTCTAGCATTCAGTAGACTATCCTTGATAAGAGGAAATTAGATACAGCCCACCTAACATTCCTTAAACCTATTCATGTTTTCTACTCGCTGGCTGGAAATATACTGGTCATGCTGAGGTGAGCAGCATGAGACATATCAATAAGACTCGCACAAGTATTTAATGTACCTTTCCTTTTCTTTCTTTAGAGTACTTAGACTTTCGGCTGTGCTGTCGCCCGTCTTAGACAAGTTTAATTCTTAACATGACAGGTGTCTTCTTAGTTCTAACGCGTACCCAGACCTCTTTTGGACATGAAGTCTGTGTTACAAATGTGAGCTCTCTTCTATCCCAACAGGTGGAAAAGAGCACACCTTGTTCTGCGCTCATACATGGAAGTGATTACAACTTAATGATCTGCTGCTGCTGTTGAAGAGTGTGCTCATTAGAAGCCAAATACCCATTCTGAACTAATTTTTTTTCAAATTGGCTTTCACTACTTTGACCTTTTTATATACTAAACGCATAATCAATAATGAAAACACTGCGCAGATGCCTTCCAGCTGTGCTTCAGAAAGTCACTGCTTTAATTGGAGAACCAGCAAGCACAATCAATAATAAAATATCATGAGGACCATCTCTTTGGAGGTCTAGCTTCACTACGTTCTGAGGTGTTTTGAGAGCACCGTGTCTAAAAAAAAAAGGGGGGGGGGATTGGAGGTGGGCTCTGGACTCAGAAAGTAGGCGTTATAATCTTTAACTTGGCCTTTGAGCCACGCCGGTGGGTGTTTGATTCATGAAGACCTTGGCATCAATATAATTGAATAAATTAGCCTAACGACGAGCCAAAGAAAGTGTCGATAACAGCTCCCTCTGAGAAAGTGATCACAGCTGCCTGCCGCGTGTCACAAGGAGCCAGCGCTGTGGCTCTGACAGCTCACGGCCCACAGCAATGCTAATCATGACCGTTCTGCTTTAAACGCGGCACTGGAAAACAAAGAGAAGTGAGAGCTGATTGTTTAATAACTGGGGTTGTTTCGCTCTGTTACCATAGAGGCTTGAATCTCTCTCTCTCACGCACACACACACACCTACACACACACACACACACCTACACACACACACAGAGTAATTATAGGGCTCAAACTACAGCAGTAACGTGCCCAATCTGCTGCATGCAGATATTTTAAGAGAAAAAAGCTCTCCGAGCTCATCAGCCAATCACAAATGATCTGCGTGACATGTGGCGAACTTCCTTGAGGGAAAGTGATAACACTCTCATGAACTGTGAAGACAATTCCTGCACTGTAGGAGAGTCATTTTTTTAATGGGGCTGGGAAAAAAAACAAACCTATAACAACTAAAGCTGTATCGTAAAATGCCATCATGAGGTCAGCAGCTGCTGCATTATGTCCTCAGTGCACACAGGGGCAGACAGAGACTGTGACCGCTTTTCGGTTCCTGTTCAGAGTACCTGGAGGAGGAGGCTGGCTCAGTGGTCTGCCTTTGGATTTTTGTCGGCTGCCGGCTGATCTTCTCCTTCAGGGCCGTTTGCACCTCGGCGGGGATGTCTGGCGAAGTCTGACTGATCTTCATGGCCGCCTCCAGGAGCTTCACCGTGCTCCGCCCGTTCATTTTGACTTCCGGCGGGGGCTTCTTTTCCACCTCCGCCACTTTACACTCGTTGACAGGCGGGGAGCTGGGCGGAGGCGCCTCGGGGAAGCCCACGTGGAGGCCATTTTCAGCGTGGGCCGACAGTGCCTTGCTCCTCCAAATGGGCCAACACAGCTTCCAAAAGACAAAGAGAGAGACTACCAACAGGGCGAGGCCACAGAAACCCACGACCACAGCAAGGAGACTAATAGAGATGTCTAGGTTTAGCCCACAGAAGACAGAAATGGAACAGGGAAGATAAGACGAGCAGTTGAGGGTCAGAACATGACAAACATGCAAGGGAGAAGGAGAAAAAAGGAGAGAAGGAAAGCTGTGAGAAAGAGGAGGCTGCATACAGACCTGTTTGATAAAACAGGACAATGTGAAGTCAGATAAGTCAAAGACAGCATCAGGTAGAAAGATACACGATTCTAAACTTCAGGTGATATTTGCTATTTATTTGCTGTTGAAAAATAAATGCAACAATTCGTTCTTCAAAGCAGCTTTTAGGCACCAGTTTATATAAAAAATTTTGAGCAAAAAGAGAAGGGCCATGTATTATCACCCTTTTCCTCAGTCAGATGGCCTTTCTGTTTTACCTGTTGCTCTTTTCATCAGAGCACTGAGCTGCTGCAACCTGCGTAACAGGTAGGCGCACTCTATCAGCACCAGACAAAACGCACGGAAATAGTGGCGTGGCCAAGTTTTTAAGGAGCTACAAATGATTATTTTCTTTCCCTTTCCTCTTCAACTCGAAAAAACGAACAAAGTAAAGTAAAAAAAAAGAAAAGAAAAGACAACAAGTTTGAATTGCTTCAATATTAGAATAACAACGGTAATAATGACTGTTCCATTTACCTGCGTGTCCTTTACCTGGTATGTTGCTCTCCAGGGGGAAAATATCCGCGCATTTCTCCCGGTCGACGTGTCCCGTAAGACAAAGTTCCGTCACAATTTGGAGAGCCCTTTGGCACAAAGTGATGCTGTCCTCCGTCCGGACACCCATGTCTCTCCTGTTAAGCCATTGCACGCCGGAGGATCCGGGGGGCTGGCGGCTCATCTGGGCAGCGTTTATGCGCCGCGGACAGCAGTCTGTCCGGCAGACACCGCACTAATGGGCGCTGCGTCCTGATCCATGTCCGGCGCGCACTGCGGAGCGACTAACTGATGGCTGCACGCGCTCCCGCCGTCGAAATAACAGTGAACCGGTGGCTGCCTGGAGTCCAACCCTCCCCGCGACCAATAGCAACACGCGTCTGGTGAATAGTGAATCCCGTCGGTGGGAGTTGGTAACGAGATTACTTTTTTTTTTTTTTCTAGTAACGCCAGGAACGCTCCCCACAAGCGACAGGCGACCCGTCTGTCCCCGGCTGCCTTCCAACACACGCTGGTTGCTGCGCCCTAGTCCTGTCAGCCACAAACTGCTTTTTGTCCTCCCTTGACCCTGGAAATAAGCGAGCTGTTGGCTGTTGAAAGAGTGCATGCGAGGTTTTGCAGAATGCAAAATCGAGCAACTTTTGTTTTTCCAGACCACAGATCAGTTGGAGTCTGGTTTGCAGTCCACACTTTGACAGACATTTGCAGCTCCTGATTATAATAATGCAGTGGGTATTTAGTACGTAGAACGCAGCTAGAATGCCTCCTCCTGTTGTCCATGCCAACAAGAGCTTTCTACTTTAATGAGCCTCTAACAAGTCATTTCTTTGCAATGCATGTTCCATTTACCGCATACTCTGTATTTAGGTACATAAGTTCATAATTCAGATTCCAGGGCAAACATTAAGATGGAACGATTATTCACTTAATTGGCTAATTTCACCTGTTGTGTAATAATGGCCATTGCTGGAGTACCCAGACACACCTTTTTAGGTATTGCAGTGTAGTTGCTGTGGAAACGGTTAGTCAGCATGGTTACATCCACACTACAGCCACTGGACCTGGCCATTTAATTCGACCACCATCGTTCTTTTTTATTTTTTGATAGTTTCAGCAGGACTGAGATGTGAAGATGTCCCGCGTGTTAAAAGTCTGACAGTGTATAGAACAAGCATAATTAGGTATTTTCAAACTTTCTTGGTAAAAGAAGCTTGGCATTGCCATGTTGTGAAACTTTTAACCAAAGAATGATTGGTTTCAGGAAGCAAAGACAGAAAGAGACTGTAAAATACCCCATTGTTCTCATACGCATGTTGGCTTGTCAAATGGGCTCTTGTTTTCACCGCTCTCTAAGCAGCTGTTGCAATGTGAAGCATCAAAACATTGCTGTGATACTCACAGCTTGCTGCAATCCATAAAAAAGCACCCATATTTTGCACTTTCATAACAAATCACTCATCCTTGCACTATAATCACACCGTCTAATGTGTTTTCAAATTCTTGAACCATTTCAGCTGCTGCGTCTTATTTTTTTAAAACCGTAGACTGTTGTGTATCGCACTTTGAGGTTCCCACAAAAGTCCTGATTTCTATCACCAACCCATTGTGAGATTAAAAGATTAGAGAAGATAAAGGATGTATCCCTGTATTTCTAACCTCACACAATTATAACTATAAAATAGAAATAGGAAATAGCACCATGGTTGTGATTGCCAAACCAAGCAGATCATGAATGAGGAGTCTACACAAGACACAACGAGAAAGTTCAGGGATCGGTGTGGCTGCTCTCCCTGCAGGAGCACCGTTTTCATCCAGCCGTTCTCCATAGGATTTCTTCCTTTTATTATCTTGTGCTTCATTCCAGCGGGGGGCAAAAAAAAAAAAAAAAACTGCTGCCATGAGTAGAGAATCCAGCAGAATGAAGTGAACATTAATAGCAGTAGGGTTAGAGTGACACATACAGCTGAAGGCGAACTGGGAGTTTGGAGGCAGGGTTATTCGCGGTAGCTGTCCTGAAAGGATTCTTTCACAAAAACTATAATCCACATTGTTTTAATGGTCATGTAATGATCAAGCCCCATGAGAAATATAGGACTGGCGTAGTGTGTGCATGGATGTGGTGACATTGTGTTTGTGCTTGCGATGAAACGCATTATGTGCATGAATTCTCATGATCTCATTCTTATGAGAAACAGTTTTCTACAGTTTTTTTTTTGTGGAGGCTGAAAATGTTAGCATTTCCAACTACAGATGTGTTTTAGCTTTGGAAAGCTTCGCGGCTCTCAACTCAGCGGAGCTCAGCAGGTTTCATTATATGTGGTACAACATGGATTACTGGAAACAAAAACAAAAAAATCTATGAATAATTACAGCTGTTTATAATATTCAAATTAAAGACATGTTAATTAATTTAACCTACATACAAAAAGTACAATCCAAGCTGATCACTGAACTGTTATTATATGAACACAAAACGTTAAAGAAGCTCAAGGAGGTGTGTTTTCACAGGTAGGCTCAAAAGTTAGCTCCCCTGAAGGAATTGGTCAAGACGGGCATTTTTCCATCATATTGATCCTTGGAATAAGGTTTAAAGCTATAAACCGGTTAAAAGTAGAATTACTACTATTTACAAGTTTTCCTTCGGAAAAACATTAAATATACTGATGCGAATTATACAAACAAGCACAGTGTGAATGACCTCCAAAACTGTTCAACATCACTTTCCTGTTGTGGAAGAGACAACAATAATCGGTTTGACCCATGTCAGGGCGCTGAGGCTGGACCAGGGCTTTATCGTGACCAAATGAAGGTCGGCTCACAACAGACGCAGACGTTTGAATCAGTTCTCAGTGCACATAGTGTAACCATTTACCACTGATTTCTGTCACAAAGGAAATGTCATAATTTGGCTCTCTGTGGCAGTGAATGACTCGACTAATCTGCCAGTGGTAGATGACAACAATAGGGCTGGCTTATCAACACATTACGCAAACCACAAGGGGTTCGCAGAGAAAGAGAGGATCGACACCCTTCTCCTAGGCAGGGGATCTGATTTATGACGGTCCTCTTTTGCATTTGTTTTTGACTCCCTTCACTCTCAACTGAGCTATTCTAAACTATTTTGATATACGTTGCATATGGTTGTGGAAAACATCTCACTGTCACATTACAAAAGCCTACACGTCAGAGTGATTCTTTTCGGGTTCAAATCAATGATAGCTCAAAATAATACTTGTGTGTGGGGCAGTATGAAATTTGGAGTAGGTCTATCTGCTATTGACAGAATATGTAATGAATAACTGCAGTCTGCCATGGCTTTTAGGAGTATGCACAAGTGATTTAGATTGTCATAAGTATTAGTATATCTCATACAATATGGACATCAGTCTAATTGGACTCTATTTAACATTTCATCAAATGATACTGCCCGTACTGCTATATAGAGAAAGGAAAAAATGACAGGGCAAAGGCAAAAGGATATGTCTCCAAACCAATACACAAGCAACAGGCAGTCAGGTCGAATGATCTTTTGCTGTCTTCCTCCCTGTGTGAAATGACCTAAAACTATCTAAGTAGCAGTCACAATAAGAGATATTACAGCTCTCACAATATGAGGGAAAACAGTCTCTGTGTTTCCTTGATTTGCTTTTAACACAGGCATCACTGGACCATCACTTACGAAAGAAAGGGCATAATTCCATCTCGCACATCTCAGACAGCTGTATCTATTGAGTCATGCTGACTGAATTATTTGGATAGATATGACAGGAGGGCGGCAGTTCTGTCCTATTTTTTCTCTCAATATCAGCCTTGATAGTCAGGTTTGCAGCTGCTATCAAACTCATGAGTGATGTAGTTTTTGTTGCACATGAAACTGCATACTAGTAGTTCAACATTAGCTTAATTTTACTTACCATGCCTGGTCTTTAGGTGCTTACTTGGCTCAGATACTGATTTTGCCTGCTCTCCTCATCTCAGTTTTCAGTCTCACGTCTGTCATCGAGGTTATTCTCGTTGTAAACCTTTACAAAAGAATGCTTTGAAATAGTTAAAACACCATAGCTCATTTTATAAAAAGCTGTTTGCACAAAACCACTCCCATTTTAATCAATGACCACTACTTCCTGTTGGCAAGTTTTTCAGGGCTCATGTAACTGAGCTTCAAGTTTCTCTATCGACTCACTGGTTCATGCATGGGAGAGCTCCCCTCAGAATTCTGCACCAAACCTCAGCACATGACTTGTTGAATGTGTGAAGGAGGTTGCAATACACGTGGCTTATTTCCTGTTTGATTGTGTCTAATTGCACAAATTCCCAGTCCAAACTGGCCCAATTATTGCAACCGAGACCTTTCAAAATTCTTGCAATCATCAAACAGCCAGAAGTGGCTCTCTAAAATTGAGCTGGTGCCAAAATACAGGCTGAGTTTTTGACACACAGTTTTTTTTTTCTGCATCGTATTTGCTGTTGGTGCACGAGGCCAAAATCAGGAGGCTGTTCGCCTGAAGTTCGGAAACAATCGAATATTGTGCAGTCCACATAAATCACATATGCAAACAAGCAGAGTTATGAATTGTTTTTTTGTCTGGACTTTTGTGAGGCTTTTGTTGCATTTTGCAAAGCGCACAGCGTGCCTGCACCAAGCTTTCAGTCGCTCAGTTTTACGTATTCAATCCAACTGATGCTTGTTTTTTCTCAATTCCCAAAGCAGTTTATTCGCTACCTTAAACCTTCCGACTGTGGGGATTTAGAAAACAAAAGGATCTGTCTCTTTGACAACACTTTCCCGTTCTGCCAGATTGCCTTGGTCGCCAAAACTAGCGTCCTCTATTTGTGTGAAACACTACCTTTGGCTGCGTCTGCTGGGGCACCGCAGTAAATCTGGAAAATCAAGTAGACTTTCAGAAAGTACTTAACGACAGTTATAGTTTACTAATTGGAGTGCTGAAAGGAGGGAGCACAGGGTGATGAAGTGTTAGTGCGTGATTATGTAAACACAAGCTCATAAACACCTAAGTAATCACTGTTCACATTATTTGTGTCCTGCCGGCTGGTGTTCTCATTAGGAGCCCAAATACAAAGAAAGTGGGTGGAAAAAAGCAGGAAAATGTGCCCGTTAGGGATAAGAAATTTCGGACATTAGGGCAGCTTTAAATAGTTATGCCCACATTTGTTTGTTAAAACTAACAAGGTCAGAAGGAATTATGACTTTGGGGGAATAATGTTTGTTTTTTTTAGTGCCAGACCCGCTGGCGGTGCCTGAAGCAACAAGTTCTCATGTCTAAAACAATATCACACTTTTCCATAATGACCAAAAGTTTTTTAAAAAGCTCTCAAATGAACGGAATTTTTCTCTGTGAATGTTCTTCTCTCAGTTCATTGCCCTTCTTTGCATACGAAATGACAATGCCACACCATGTTATTGGAATTATAGTCTCTCCATCCTACTATAGGCATGATTTCCCTCATTGGCCCAACATCTTCAAAGGCATAAAGCCCAAAGTCAGCTTCATATCC